ATCATCGTCATCATCATCATTTCTCTTAAGCTGAATCTTTATTTCATTTCATTTTCATCGAAATTTGTGCAGAGTTAGCGAATAATAGAAATCGTAATGGAACTGGCAGTTAACGTGTGTGCATATACATATGTACATATACTTATACACAAACACATATGTACATACATAAGAGGTCTGGACACGATAGCGCATTGACTGTCTCTATAATAAATAATAAATGATATTTTTCTACAATTTCTGTTGCATAAATTCTGATTGTACGAAATACAAATGCTACACATTCGAATTGTTCTTATCGATGTGAATTCTGATGCTGTTTAGTATATGTTTTGTACTTTTTGTGCTCGGATACGCATAACTTCCTTCTGTTTTACTTATGTATGTACTCGCACACATCGCTGAGTACCGGACAGAAGGAAGTGGAATCGATTTGACTGTTAAAATGCTTTCTAGCAGCTAACTCAGCTGCAAATAAAGTGGGGCTCTAAAATGTTGCCTACAAATCAAGTTTATGTGCTCAAACCTCTTGCCCACTCACACACACACAAGCACCACACTTCTCTCCAGCTGCAGCGAGAGAACTAACTTTCAAGGCAGACTTGCACCAAAATGTAGGCTGCAAATGGATTGCCCTTCAACCAATGAAATTATTTAGTATTGCTCCAAAATGTTGGCAAAAACTGGACCTTGTAATGGAAATGATACGGTGGAAAAGTGGGGGGTAAATGGCATAAACGAATCAGCGATATAATGTTGAAGAAGAAATACTTAACGGATGCACTTGTGCAGCTCAGGCCACTCGAATATTGACTCACCGAAGCAGACGAAGAGAGGACCAGAGAGAGACAGCGAGCGGGAGAGCACCACCGCATAGCACCCCTTCTTCTCGCTTTACAAGGGCACTTAGCCAAGTGGCTCTTCCCCTTGCTCTTCCCTTTGGTCTTCCGCTTGCTCTTCCTATTCTTCTTCTATTCTGCTTAAGAGGAGGAGTGAGTGTGAGAGTTGGCGGCGCTCACTTTGCTGCCCAGCACTTTTTTTTTATTTTTTGTAAATATTTTATAACTGTGCTTACTCTTTTATTCATTTTGATGCGAAACGAAAGAAGTTTAATTGATGTTGCATTCTGAATGTAATGTTTATCAAATATGTAAGAGGTTCTCGCAAACATTTCTTTTGATGTTTTTTTCTCCCCCTCACTCTCCATCACTCTCCATTTCTCTGACTGATGAAATGCAGCAGCACGTCAAGAAGATTAGCCAAAAGTGAAAATAGGCGATGGAGAGGCTGCACAACAACAAGCTCTCTTCTTTTCCCATTCCCAAGTAAAGGCAATCAAAGCTTAACGCTCGAAACTTGACATAAAAACAAACCAAAAATGTGAAAAATGTGAATGAAAAGAAGTACATTTTCAAGGACCGACAACTTAATAAACCCTTTTACATGAGGAATCCTATTTCATCAATATTCGTAGTATTTATGATGTTTAACAAACAGGTTACAATTCAAAAGCTGATTCCAAGCTGGATTTGTTCAGCGAAAGCGAAAGAAAGATAAGCGGCTTGACGACGAGACACCTGAAAATAATGCACACACGACGCTCAGGTGGGAAAAATGAAGTGGCATGAAATAATAATAAATAAACTATCATCTTGCCACCCAGCCACAAACGCGGTGGCAGAGTCGCGAGATATGACATTTGTTTCTGCCATGCCAAAGTCGATGCCACGAGATGCTAGTGCGCACACTGCCGCTCAACTGAATAGGTTCAACAAATTGTAATTGTAAAAACATTATCCATAACTCCATTAATATGACACATGCACATACCGTACTATCTATAAATAATATTAATCATGTGCACAAAAAGAAGGCTCTGTTCGAGCATACCTATTATTTTGCCCGTCACTGTAAGCGTGTGTGGAAGAGAACTCATCTGCATCAAGTGCGTTTGCCAGCGCAAAAAAGGAATAAAATCGTGCAAAATGTCTGTAAACATTTATTTCAAACATTTATGAACATTGTTCTCGCTCGGCAAAGGCTGAAGCAGCAGCAGCAGCAGCAGCAGCATCAGCAGCGGCGACCAAAAAGAGAACCTCTCATCCCACGCAAACCTGCCGCCTGCCAACCCATCTCTTTCACTACTTTCCCACTGCCACAGTTTTATTCAGCTTTGAAATTGTTCTGGCATCGCCATTGTCTACTATTTTTGTCTCTGTGTACGTACTGGCATGTGTGTGCGTGTGTGTGACACATTGTGTCGAGACATGATACTTTCATATTAATTTTCTTTTTTTTTTTGCGTGTCGTAGCACATTCTTTACCCTGCACAAAATATATCACTTCCATACAGGTTTTTGGACCATTTTCAGAAGCAAGCCAATTGCCTGAACATTTTAAGGAAGCAAACTGCAAGAAGTTGCATGCGAGAGAGAGAGAGAGAGAGAGAGAGAGAGAGCAATACTTCTTTAGATCCGCTAGTGGAACATGGCACCATAAGCCGACACAACCACGTCCTTGCTCTGATAGCGATGTTCCTCCTCCTTGCTGTTACTGTGTGTGTATGGGATTCGGCATAAGTTTTTGTTTCTGCCTTACCTCTTCCCTTTATTTTCGCCTCTGACAGCTGCCCGTCCCACACACACACACACACACACACACACGCAGCCACACTGCCATACACTCCCGCAGCGGCACATACAGCTGGAGTTGTACACGACCATTAGTCTTCTCTTGTCGTCATCATGCACAAAAAAGTTGTCGTTTCTGGTTATCTTTATCCTGCCTTACTCCACTTTACTTGCCAGCCCTGCCCTCGGGCTACATATGTATATTATTCCCCCTTCATGTTGCTGGGCATTTTCGGTTTGGTCAAACTGAAGTTCGTCCATTAAGTTAGTCTTATGGAGTACGAGAGTGTGGCCCCATTATCGCGGCCACACTTTTACCTCTGTGTTGTTATCTAATTATAATTTTTCATCCCAGTTACGGGGTGTGCAAAGTGTTGTCATCGCACATGCTCAGACACCATTTTTTTGGGTCTAGAACAGAACTTTGTTCTGTGTCGTATGGGAGCGGGTTGCAAATGCAACTTCATGTTTCAACTCACACAGATTGGCCACAGAGTGGAGTAAATGTGTATAGTGTATTAGGTAAGTAACTTAATTAATTGTGTGTGGTGGATATTTGAAGGGGAATGATTCCTTGGGTTGTGGTTGTATGTGTGGCAGAGCCAGCCGCCAATTAGGAATTTTAAGAACTTCCTCGGTATCCACTAACTCACCTCTGCTTGTGCCTCATCACAGTATTTGATTTAATGTTGCTTGAATTATTTATTGTCATTTTAGACACTACATCCACATATTATTATGCAAATGACAGGAAATATTCAAAAAGAAAAACCGTAGTGAAAATAATGAGGAGGAGCAAGAAAGCAAGAAAGCAAGAAAGGAAAAGACTCTGGGGAAGTGGCTTTATTGAAATTCCAGTTGGCAAAACTGAAACCCTTAACCCAATTGCCACCTGACACCTCATGAACTCTGAATCTTCTCTCCTCTTCACTTGCGCCTTATCTTTCCCCAGAGAGATACAAAATATCAAGTGAATAAATCAAAATCTCAACTACAATCAATTCTCGACACACACACACACACACACACACATGGTGTACAAAGAAAACACTTTCCTTCCCCTCCCATCCCTTATTTTTCGAGCATTTTAATAAGACTTTAAAAGTCCAAAGAAATCCAAAACGTTGCTTATTCGAGTTCTTACATGTCACTGTATCTACGAGTATATGTACCACCCCCCCCCCCCCCCCCCCCACCCCCTGGGTGTGTGTGTGCGTATGACTTTGTCTGTATTTGCAGAAAGAGGCAACAAGCCAAGTTAATTAGCAAAAAGCAGATAACGTCACACAAAAAAGGAGCAACCATCTAAGGCCATCTAAAGGCCTGATTGGGATGGGTGGCACCAGAGCCCTGAAGGGGCTGGCTTCTGGTTGGGACCTCCACTTAAGAGCGGGTTTTTGATGTCAGCGCAAAATGGCAAAGAAAATGATTTATTATCTGCAAAAGGCAATTAAGTAAAATTGCTTGCAAATTATTTGAAAGGAGACAAACCAGAGAGTACTCTCCGTATACCCAAACGGCAGTAGCCAAAGGGGAAGCTGAATTAGTGGAGCTCCTGTGGCAACCAAAACTCTTCCTCACACCTGGCACACCAGCTGTTGAAAACGGAACATAAAGTATTTTATTTGGTTTTTAACATGCCGCAGAAATACCTAGAAAATTAACCACCACAAATCGACAAGGGTACCTGTTGGACGAAACTGTCATACATTAGGATGTTGCTCTTTGAGCAGGATACAGTGCCATGTGAAGATGTATTTCCATATAATCCATCCAGCATGGATGTATGTAAATGCTCTCCATACCCTTTAGCCTTTTATTTCCACATTTTATCCAGCGTAATGCTAACGTTAGAAACAGAGGTAGAAGACACACAAATTACAAATTCAAGCCCGAAGCGATAATTAATTAATAATATTTTCATTTTCCATCTCTTAAGACGACAGAAACCATTTTCGTGGACCGGCAAAGACACGGGACATAAAACCTCGAACATAAACGAACACGAAAAACTTACGTATAATTATGTACAAAAAAATAATTAGAAAGGGCACACCCCTAAGTTTGGAACACATCACACCATTCATTTGATACTGAATGGTGACTTTGGGGCGTACATTTTCCGTAGATACACACACACGCAGATGTATCTCTATATATTTTTGCGTATGATAATAAATTAAAAATATTTACAAAGCTGCACTGGCGGTTAGCCAGCCCTCTGGCATAGGTATTTTTAGCTAATATTTGTGCAAACATTTGAAGAAGTTTTCATATATTCGAGTATGTAACAGGTAGAACGATGGCATTTGACTCATTTAATCCCTTTGTCGACCATTTACTTCATTTACTGATTTGGATAGAACTCACCTTTTACTGAAGTATTTTCAATGTCTCCACGCTCCGTTCAACTGTATGTTTCGGTTATCTGCGTCGCTAGCTTATCTGCGTTGCAAAGAACTCGACCAGCAATCTGGATTTCAAAGCTCACACACTGAACTTCACTTGCAAACGGTTTTGGGTAGAGTGCTGTGTTGGCGTTTTAATTTAAATTTGAAATTCAAAACAAATGTTCGAATTACAATTTCTTGGATTAGCACAAAAACAAAAAACTATTTTTAGTTTCTTTCACGCTTTCAGCTGGGTTTTATACACCGTAGATTTCCGAGATTTTGAAAATCTCACACGCTTTGAGACGTTGCGCGCAAAAAAAAAATGTCTTCCCTGGGGATTCCCGTCAAAAGTAGCTCTGCGACTGAGGCTTGGGCTGAGACTGAGCCGCACCGAGCGAGCAGTGTCGCCGCGAACTTATCGATATAATAAGCCACAAGACTCTGCAAAATATACCGGAAGAAAGCTTTTCATTGTCAACATATACCATAAATATGCCGACTGCCATATCGTTTTAATCGACTTTGATATTCTGTTGCATATCACCAGCTAGCTAGGAGTCTCAGCACTTCAACTATCATTTTATGCGATTGATAAATCAATTACCAACAAGATTCTTTCAGTTTCCAAGACGGCCTAAAAGAGAAATTAGCATTTAATTCGTGGAATTCGTGGCAACGACGACAACGTAGCAAAAGCTGAGTGGTTTCAGTATTGGGAAAACAAAGCTACAGTCGCCACTAAGACTAGGCAAAACATTTGTATTTGAAAGCTTGCACACTGTACTTTGCGGACAGAAACTTAACAGCTCGCACTGCGACTCTGAAAGCGCCCACTTTGGGGCGCGTTTAATATCCATATTTGCTCTTAGCAGCGAGCGTGGAAGCAAAAGCGATGATTGTTTAAGGTAAATCGTGTGTACACTAAATGTTTGTGAAAATCAATTCTAAAAACGAAATACAATTTGAAGTTTTTTTAAGAAAGTTTCTTTTTATTCTTTCGTCGAATAAAAACGACTTCTCTGTATACAAAAAAAGATTTAAAACACTTTTACATATTTCGTTCTAACAGAAAAAGAATCGAGGGTCAAGATCAGAAACTGAAGCAAAAAAAGTCTAAAAAATTATAATCATATGGTAATAGGAGCTAAATGTATCGTACAATTGGAAGGTTTCTATTTTTATTCTTTAATATATCTTTCTCACGTTTCTTATAAATTTACTTAAACCTTGGCGCTCCCCTACAATCATTCTCTAACTTTCTATCCGTACCTCTCCTGCGTGTCTTCTACAAACGAAGACAATTCACAAGAAAGTCATTTAAACTCTTTTAGTTTTGTTTTGTTTTGTTTTAAGCTTTCCTTTCTCCTGTTCCTTCTGTGGTTCTTGGAGTATGTGCAGAAATCAATTTTGGGGGCATAATCAAATTCACTTTGTGGAAATTCTATGGAAATCATGGACTGTTTTCATTTTGCTGTTGTGGTTTTTTCTTTTTTTCTTTTTTTTTTCATGGATTAACACTAACAATCTCGCGATAAACGAAAAACGAAAAACGAAAAAAAAAATTATGATAATATTTCTATATATGATCGAAAATGATATATATGGATCTCTACTCGTAAATATTATTGGAAACGTAATGCTTTTTCTCCCTACAGGATGAAATGGTGGGGGAGGGAGGGGTGGTTTCTGGAGTTCGTTTCTGTTGGTGTTGTTGGGTTGAACTCTGTGGTTCTGTCCTGGCGCCCAGTCTTTGCATTTAGTCGTCGCCCGCAGAATGTTTCACCTTGCGCTGCTTGGGACTTTGGTGGCTGGCCCCCTTGGGGCTGGCCTGCTTGCCCGGCTTGGGTGAGGTCTTTGGCGTCTTTGACTTGGGAGGCGATTTCTCTGTGGAACAAAACATTAGCATCTGCGAGAGGAGGTTTATGTGTAAATGGAAACTTACGCAGAACACGCAGCGTTTCCTGCGGGACCCAGTCGTAGTCGATGGTGCTGTCGTTGGCTGTACCAGTTTCAATGATCTTCTTGGCAGCGGCACGCTTGCGCTTGCCTGAGCTGCCCAGCAAATATTGCTGGCCAATGACCAGTAGAAGGACTACAATTCCGGCCAGGAGGACGTACAAGAAGAAGGTCTCGCCGTCGAGTCCTTCATCGACCTCGGAGATAAGAACGGTCTCGTTGAAGACAGCCTCGTTGTACTGAATGCCATTGGCATCGCGATAGGCCAGGGCAATGTTCAGACCAAATGGACGTCCAGCAAACTGATCCGATGGCAGGAACGTGTACGAAACGGTCGACTCAAAGCCGGGCTTCACCTCACGATTGTAGGCCACCGCCGAAAAGTTCTGGATGAAGTAGTTGAAGTCCATGGGGTAACGGAAAGAGGCCTCGACAGTCTCGATCACAAACTCCTCGGCGCCCTTGTTGGTGAAGCCGATCAGGAATTCCACAGGCTTGCCACCGGGCAGATCCAGCTGCTGACCGGGCGTGTAGAGAGGTTTCGTGAACAGCAGATAGGTGTCCGCATTCGGCGAGGCGCTGCTCCCCTTGTCCGTGTCCTCATCGGTATCTGCATCTTCGCCAGTCACGGCTCCCTCTTCGCTGTCCACATCCACTATATCGTCCTCAACAGCTTCGGCGGCATATGCTCCGAATTTGTTTGCTATCCAAGGAAGAGAGAGGCACATACACGAAGCACATAAGTACGAGTGAGAGGGAGATAGACTGAGACCATCAGGTGCAAGACAGTGCCAACTCAACACTTTTGGTGGTCATTGTCCAAGCGAGATCAACACAAGAGACGACTTCAGATGAAGCTGCTCCAGTTTGCGTTGGAAAAACCTGGCAGCCCATCGGGCAGCAACTGCAGCAGTGCCACGTATGCGCCCCCGGCCCTTCGGTCAAGCGGTGGCTGCGGCTGAATGACCGCTATTTGTGTACTTACGTGCTGAGAAGGTGCATATGACGATGGGAAGGACCATCAGCATAAAGAACATCAGATTCTTCATGGTTTGTTTGATGCTTTTCACTTATGCTCGGGAGGAACGGAAATATAAAGGCCAGAAAATGAAAACGACACTGTCGCTCGCTCACACACAACCGTCGTGCAGTAGTAAAATTGGCTGAGTGATGAAGTGATGGTAAGCAACAAGCCGAAGCAGCACACGAAGCGAGCCGACTTTCACTGTCAAATGTCTACGTGGTGCCACGTCTAGGGTTGCCAGCCATTCCCGTCGATTGCCGCCAATGTTTTGATTTACGGTGTCAATATTTTTGAATGGCCCTGCAACTATTATCGATTCACTCAAACACCCATTTAATTAATTTTCCTAGTACATCGGCTTATTTGAATCAACCATTAATGGCAAATGTCTACTGAATTTGTTATTTTTCACATGGGCGACCACTCTTGCACAGAAACAGTGCTGTGAAACACCGAAGCTGTCAATATTTACAAAAATTGTGCATTATTTACTTAAAAACAATGATTTCCATCTTACAAATACACTTTAAATTTAAGTGAATCACAAATTCATAGTTTTATTGAAATAGTGAATAGTTTTAGTCACTTTTGCTTAAGCCACTTGCATTTTACAACACCAACTCGCCTATCGTATATCGCCCCGCAGCGCAACCAGCTTCACGTAGCTGGACCGATAACCACCCTACTTCCTTTTTGCTTGCGGCTGCCAATTGAAGCGCAACCTACACGTGAATTCTCTGCGTGAAACTAAGAAACTCAACAATAACCATGGACAAACCAGTTGTTTGGGCTCGCGTGATGAAAGTTCTCGGCCGCACCGGCTCTCAGGGCCAGTGTACACAGGTCAAAGTGGAGTTCCTTGGCGAGCAGAACCGTCAGATCATCCGCAACGTGAAGGGACCCGTCCGCGAGGGCGACATCCTCACCCTCTTGGAGTCTGAACGTGAAGCCAGAAGACTTCGCTAAGTAAGCCCTGCTGCCCGATGTTGTGGAGTGCTCGCTATTTTTTATCAAAGGTAAGTTCAAGCAACGTGGACACCAACGAAACCATCCTTAATGCCATTTTCCCCACTCTTTACAGACGCCTTTGCACATTGAATGATGCACGAGGCTCGCGCCTCCAAAACAACCGTCGATTGCACCAAAAATCCTCTTCGCAAACTAAATAAAACGGCCAAAATTCGCCATAAATGTGGAAATGTGTTCTAATAAATAAATATCGAGTGCTGAGAAAAAAAAAAACACAAATTTGGATTGTTTTGCATTTGCTAACGTTTTTTTTTTGTTTTTGTTTTGTGCTGTGTGAAAAAGAATATCCGGCTGAATGTCTAAAGCCACAGCGGAACAGCTTGAGAGGGTTGGAGGCAGCCAGAGAGGTCACCCGAAATGTGCGAATGTGAAATATTTGGTTGTGGCAAATTAAAGTCGACGGTCTTGCCCTTGCCCTGGAAGACGTGTGGAGGGATGCCCCCGAGATGATTGGTTCAACTAAACGTTATTCGTACGCAAAAATATAATTGATTGATTTTGGCGCAAATGTACAGCATTCAGCATTCTCTTTCTCGTCGTGTGTCAGGAAGTCAGCAGCAGCGGGCATGTAGCCTGTCGCTCGGCTCTGGCCAGGCCCATGCAGAGCACAGCCTCTGGATGCTCGCCCAGCTGCAGATTAGTTTTGAAGTCTTCCACCGTCTGCTCCTGCAGAATAGTCGGGACGAACAGGCGGGCAGCAATCTCTAGGCGCTTGAGTTGAGCTTGCAGACTGTGCAGCGAATCATTCAGCCATTCCCGCCACTCGGCCACAGAGGCTGGACAGGGCTCTGGCTCTAACTCGCTGCACAAGCAAATGCATTCCAGGTCGAACTTGGCCACATCGCTGGCAATTTCATCCAACATTTCCTTCATTTGCATTCTGCATACAGAGAAAAATATCAAATTAAATGGAGGATTCTATAACCTACTGGCAAAGTCTGCCTCTCACATGCTATGCCAAATGGACTGATGGGCATCTTGGCATTCGGAGAGTAGGGCCGTCGTGCAGCGCTCATCAGTGCTGCGGCTAAGAAATGTACGATTAGAGCTATAGGGTTGGCTGGGCTCGAAAAAACGCACCCGGCCATCAGACGGTAGCGTTGGCTCCGGTCCCACAGATGATTCACGGGGCCCAGCAAGTGCTGTGCCTGGCTGGACATGAATCCATGGTAGCTACGTATGCTGCATGCTGTTTTCTGCAGGAGGTCGCCAAGTCTGGCATTATAATGGCTTGCCTTAGTCAATGACATCTTGTTAAACGTGATTGTATTTTGTCATGTTTTTGTGGCGGCGAGCCGCAGTGCTGCTAACTTACACAGCAGCAATCGATATATAGTTATCGGAACATTTAAATACCGAAAATATTGTCGCCAAGTAAAGTTGAAATGTTTATTTGGGGAAACACTACATCGTATTTTCTTGTTTTAAACTTTATTTAAAATTGTCTTAGTTACATAATGTTTTATTCCCAGAATCGTTCCCATCGAAATATTGTTTGATTGGGCCGATATTTTCTGTGTTTGCAAATGCAGTCACTCTAAACAGCTGTAAGACTCGGGGAGGTTATTTAATACAAAAAATATTAGCAAAGTTTTTCCAAATTGATCACAGAAACAAGCAACTAGGATGAGTTTGATGCGTGTGGGCGGCCGTGTGACGGCACTGCGACAGAAACTGGGCGATAAACTCGTGCTGCCCGACCGTTTCAAAGACACTTTTGTCGAGAAATGGTTGAAATATTGGAACGGCCTGGTGCGCGACTACTCGGAGGTAGCCATCGGCGTGGTTAAGGAGACATATACCAAGCCAAAGAAGTCTGTGGCATACGGCACCGGCATTCTGTGCCTGTACAAAGCGGCCCAGCACAACCCCGACGACGAGGCCTTCATGACAGTGCTACGCCGTCAAACGAATCGCATGATTATGGTGGCACCCGAGCTACAGAATCGCGTGTCGGCAGACTATCTGCTTATGCTGGAGCGTGCCATAAACCAAAAGAAGCTGCGCTTCCTCTCGCTAGGCATCTGCACGCTGGTCTGGGTGGATCTCTATGCCGAGGACGACTGCACCTATCCAGCCATCTGCGAATTCACCAAAGTCGGATACCTAAACTTCCACGAGCGCGTGATCGATGTGGGTTTCTGCAACGAGTTCTGGCGCCTCAAGTGGAAGATGCGCGACTACGATGTCAACTACCTGTGATGGATGGATGGATGGAGGGAGTAGTGCACCTCTGCCTTAGCTAGCTTTAATACGAAATTGTTTTCTTTGCTTTGTACAACTGACTAACTGACTTACCTGTTAGATGTTCCCTGCAAAACGGGCCAAATAATATACAAACGTACACAAGTGTAGGAATTTATAGAATAATATTTTTGTATATATGTTTGGTACACAGCAAAGAAGTGAATCTGTTTGATCACGAGCCACTGACAGGTTTCGGCTCGATGGTTTTCTTTGGCTTGAAGTGGCTCTCGAGCAGCTCGATGCATTCGGGCAGCTTGGCCAGATTGTTGATCTTGCCCTGGAAGCTTCCCTCTTTGCCATTGCCCTTGCCCTCGAGAAGCTCGAGAAATTGTGGCCCAAGTTCCTTTACCAGCTCGGGATCACCGCGCAGCACTAGATGACCTTTTGCACTGCTGCCGGCTGCAATGCCCTCGGAGACTGTCAGGAAGTAGAATATGTCTTCGGGCGCGTGTCGCAGAAACGTGTGGATGAAGTCAACCTCAATGCCGTCGCGACGATGCAGGGAAAAGTACTTGGGACGCTGGGCCTTGCTCAGATCATCCAGTCGCTCCGCCTCGGCAGTGGCGAAATCCTTCAGCAGCTGCAAGAATGCCTTTCGGGTGCCCTTCACATTCTGCTGCAGCTTCTGCACCAGCTCCAAATGCTGCTGAGCGCCACCCCTGCAAATGTGGAGTCAAAAACCAAAATATATGGAAGTCAGGCGCATGGCAGTGCCACATGATACTCACTTCAGGGCCACAGTTAGCTGCTGCTCCCGCTGAAAGACTTCGCCAAGCTTGCGCAGCACTCGCACGCCCACCACGAAGTGGACCAGGACATTGGTCTTGACCTTTTCCGCATAGAGCAGTTTGATGCATTGCAGCTGGGAGAGGTCGGTGACGTGAGTGCCGCAGCACATGTTGCTCTCAACGCCCTCGATGCGCACCACCCTTGCCAGGCCCTCGTGGTCCTTGGGTAGGCCGCGCGCAGCACGCGCATCCGAAAACTCTTCATCGACTTTGGGATCGACAAGCACCACGCTAACCGGCCGTCCCTCGCGGATCAGTTCGTTGGCCTGACGCTCAATGAGGTCCAGGGACTCGCGACTGATCAGATGCGGCGTATTCAGCTGAATGTAGGAGACGTTCGATCCCAGCGACCAGGATGTTGTGTCGTACTTGAATTCCCGATCGAACAGAGCCGTGATCAGATGCTGGCCGGAATGTTGTTGCATGTGATCGAGGCGACGATCCCAGTCAAGGCTCTGGTGCACCTCGGCTCCCTCCTCAAAGCTCGAGCTCGACTCCACGAAGTGCACCGCAGTGGCTCCCTTTCTCAGCACACTTCGCACCGGTTGCCCATTAATAGTGCCATAATCGCAGGGCTGGCCGCCACCTTCGGGGAAGAGTATGGTGTCCTCGCACACAACATTGAAGCCACGAACTGGACGGACTTCACCACCTGTTGCTGCGTCAACGTCGGTCCGATCGAGGGTGGCATATTCGCAGGACACAATTTTTGTTGTGTACTGTGGATATATGGTTACAATTACATAATTTATCCCTTTGGGTTTTGGCTGGGGCTTGCCTGCTTCAAGAAGCTGTCCTCCTGGCATTTGAAGACCATGATGTCACCCTTTTACACGAAAATCCCCTTTTTGATTAACAAAAGTGTAAGTATTCACCCACACTTATATACTAGAGCTGGAGAAACATCGATATTTCGATCCCATCAATATTGTTCTTCTAATATCTACCAAATATCGGTTAGTATTTTCAGCACCCTATCTAGCTGGCACACCTTGCAACCATCATAGAGATTCGCCTTTTCTATCGGCAAACGAATCAGAATAGGTATGATTATTGGCGCTCAAAATATGCGGTTATATCAAACATGGATATGTAGCGCTCCAGCGCTGGAGTATATTAAGGCACGTCCTAATGAGTTTTTATCAATGGCCAAGTTTTTGTGGCCCCAAGAGAAGCGCGAAATAAAAATACCAGAAACTACCGTTGATTGAGAGCACGTTTTCTCTCATCGATTGCGCTTGTAGTTTTTCGGTCTGTTTACATACACCTTTCGCTCTCATTCGCGCATTGTTATCTGCCATCTCGTTCTCATTCATGCGGCGGACCTGCAAGACTATCTCACTCGCACCCATGCCAATGATGCTGCGTCTGCGCTGCTGCACCAAAGGATTACATTTGAGGGGAGAGAATGTCTCGCGTTGGCTGTTCAACAGTTTCCTGGCCGTCACATCACGTTACGACACGACACGAGCAGCGTTACGTTGCGTTGCACTGGCCTCACGTTGGAGATTGACTCAGGAACAAATACAAGTGACGGACGGCGCTTAAATAAGAAGTTTTCCGCTGGTTCCCGCCACCTGTCAAAAAGGCGATAGCCACTGCGTGCCGTGTGTTCCTCTCCTGTCGCGCCCGTCGTTGAATTCCGGGACCAAGTCCTGGTTTGTCGTCGGGAGGCCCAGTGTTGGTTATATAAGCCAGGCGAAATCGCTGGCAGCCCCAGAAAAACTTCCTGCAGCGCAGAAAAAATTAAAAGTAAAGTCTGTCGCAAAAAACTCATTAGAAGTTTTATGTGTATCTATCCGTAATTTAATCAGTAGCCACAAGGATGTCTTCATGACAGCACTCCCACGCATCCCACGCAACACGCAGCACCTGTCCCACCCTCACACACCCCGCAACACAGCCCGGAAAAGTCAAACTAACTAAGTTGGTGTAAAAATGTACATTAAAGTGCATTAGTTGTATGTACAATGTTGGTTGTAGAGTGTCGGCCGGGAGGTGTTGGGTGGAGGAGTCGAAAGTGATTGATTTATTATGGTGCCCAGTCACGCATCGCACATAGATGTCAGAGATGTATGCGATTGCGTGAGCGTGGCTGCGTGTGGATATCCTTTTGTTTCCATTGCATGCTTTTTGCTTGATTTCATTGATTGATTGCAAGAAAACTAATTGTTTACTTTGATTGAATAGGAATAGCAGTAGGATGGCGCCTATTCAAGCACCGTTATCAACCGTACTTAAGCACTAACAAAGAAAATAACACACACAAACACGCACAGGCACGGCACAGGCACACCACCACCACAGCAAACAGCAAACAGCAACAGCACCAATATCCCACCCAGTGTGGGGTGAAGCATGAACCGTTTTTCTATGCAACGAGAATGACGATAAACGAATAACTGAGGGTGTAGTTACGTGAACAGTCCACAGGGGGCGCTAGACGCATCATCACCAAGAGAATTCGAAGCAAATTAACAAAAAAGAAAGCGCACATTTAGGCAGCACCCAGCAATACACTCTTGCACTAGCACAGTATCCCCAAGACACATATAAACGTATCCCGCACCCAACGATTTACCAACAATAACCGTTTCCAAATCACCGCTCGAATCATGGCCAACACAGCACAGCTATTGCGCCGTCAGAGCTCCAGGGACATTGTGCTAAAAAGCCAGAAGAGCATCGATCAGCTAGAGTTGCGGGCAAGTGACACATGACGCACCTGACCCAAGCAAATCAACATCCAACATTAATATTGTTATCTACTGCCATCCAACTGTTCCTGTTTAGGAGCTCCGTGGGCGTCTGGTGTCCAAGGAGCATGGCGTCGGCCACCATCATCACACATCGCTGCACCACCACCAGCCCATGTATGGGGCCACCAACCAGGGCTTTATGTCGGACGCCTTCGATGAGTCTTCCGAGCTGGAACAGGAGCCGGCATTCGGCTCTGAGGCCAGCACCAGCAAGGCCAAGGCCGAGCTGGTGGCCGGCGCTTTGGAGCAGCAGCAGGACATCGTTGAGGGGGAGAAGGAGGGCGAGGAGCGCGAGAGTTGGGACAGCAAAATCATGTTCCTGCTGGCTACCATCGGGTGAGTGAAATGTTATCCTGACATCTCCCCTCTATAGTGGTTCAATTTGTTCGTTTCTGCTTATTGCATCTCGAATTATGAACAGATATGCGGTGGGTCTTGGCAACGTGTGGCGCTTCCCGTACCTGGCGCAGAAGAACGGAGGCGGAGCCTTTTTGGTGCCCTACTTCATCATGTTGTGCATCCAGGGAATACCGATCTTCTACCTGGAGCTGGCCATAGGACAGCGATTGCGCAAGGGGGCGATCGGCGTGTGGAGCCAAGTTTCGCCATACCTGGGCGGCATCGGTATCTCCTCAGCGGTGGTCAGCTACATAGTGGCCCTCTACTACAACACGATAATAGCCTGGTGCCTGATCTATCTACTGCATAGCTTCGAGTCGCCTCTTCCGTGGGCCGACTGCCCAACCCGACTGTATGCGAACTACACCTACGACCATGAGCCGGAGTGCGTGGCATCCTCGCCGACGCAATTCTACTGGTATCGCACCACGTTGCAGTGCTCAGAGAGCGTGGATATGCCGGAGAACTTTAACTACCACATGGCGATTGCGCTGATGGTGTCATGGTTCCTGGTCTACATCTGCATGGTCCAAGGGATCACTTCCTCCGGCAAGATCGTCTACATGACAGCCATCTTTCCCTACGTCGTCCTCATCATTTTCTTCTTTCGCGGAATTACACTCAAAGGCGCCTCGGATGGGGTGGCTCATCTGTTTACGCCGCGCTGGGAGACGCTGCTCGATCCCGTCGTGTGGCTGGAGGCCGGCACCCAGATCTTCTTCTCCCTGGGACTGGCGTTCGGCGGCCTCATCGCGTTCAGTTCATACAATCCGGCGAACAACAATTGTTATCGGGATGCCCTGCTCGTCTCGCTCACCAACTGTGGCACCTCAATGTTCGCTGGCGTTGTCGTATTTTCGGTGATTGGCTTCAAGGCCACGGCCACGTTCGACCGCTGCACGGAGGAGAGGAACGGCCTGATGGCCATGAATCGCACCCAGAATCTGCCCGTCTGCGATCTGCAGCGAGAGCTGGCTAATGTGAGTTGATGCCTGCCTCCCGGTTGATGCCAATTTTAAATTGTGTTTGTGTTCTTTGCAGAGTGCCTCCGGCACTGGCCTGGCATTCATAATCTTCACGGAGGCGATCAATCAATTTCCAGGCGCACAACTCTGGGCCGTGCTCTTCTTCCTGATGCTCTTCACGCTGGGCATCGACTCGCAGTTTGGTACGCTCGAGGGTGTAGTCACCTCGCTGGTGGACATGAAGCTCTTTCCCAACCTGCCCAAGGAGTACATTGTGGGGGTAAGAACACAATTTTAAGGATCATTGTTGATGATTCATTCGGTTGTCTTACGTCAGGGTCTGTGCGCCACTTGCTGTCTGATCTCTATGTGCTTTGCCAACGGAGCTGGCAGCTACATATTCCAGCTAATGGACAGTTTCGCCGGCAATTTCCCTCTGCTGGTCATCGCCCTATTTGAGTGTCTGTCGATCAGCTATATCTATGGAGTGCGACGGTTTTCGGATGACATCGAGATGATGACCGGCTCGAGGCCGAGCTTCTATTGGATGTTCTGCTGGAAGTATTTGTCACCCTGCGCCATGGTCACCATTTTGCTGGCCTCCTTCTATCAGCTCCTCACCGAGGGCAGCAGCTACCCAGCCTGGATTGCGGCCAAGGGCTCCACCGATTCCATGGAGTGGCCGCATTGGTGCATAGTGGCAGCATTCTTCCTCATCCTTTCGTCGATCCTATGGATACCCATTGTGGCGGTGCTGCGGTAAGTGTTTGCCTTCAAGCACGAATCATGTTTTCATCATAAATTGAATTTGTATTATACTGATCCTACGCTAACAGACTGTGCGGCATTAAGGTGGTAGAGGATTCCGATCCGGCCTGGTTCCCCGAAGCCGAGCTCAGAGAAGTCCACGGCATCGTACCACACGAACCGACAGAGCTGGAGCGCAGCATATTCTGCTTCAACATGGACGGCACGGAGGGCATGTGCTGCCCCAAATACGGACTGCCCGAGAAGTCCCTCGAGGAGGAGGAGTAAGCTCAGACATGCACCCATCAAAAGCCATCAAAGGAGTCGTCAGAGAGGGGGCACCAACCAAGAAGACAATAAGAAAGCAAATAAGAACATGATTCAAAAATTAGCCATTGAAATGTAATGTAAATATGGACAATAACTAAGCCACTCACCGATGATCAAATGCGTCGATATCTACACTCCTATATGGTCCCAAAGACTGTTCAACCGTTCAAAGAAAACCACAGCAGCAATACACCAAAAATGTATGTATAAATACTCGTAACAACTCGTAAAAGGTGGCCAAGACGGTGAAAACTCGGCGCGGATGCGCGGTTTCATTGAAGTAGATACAAAAACGAAATCTATAGAAATATTTCCGCATAACTTCGTTAGCATGAAAATGTATAAAAGGCAAATGTATGCGGGCGGGGCATAGCCAAAATCATAATAATTATTATTTTCGTTTTCCATATCTTTCGATTGGTCTCTGCACCAACTGGATAAAAAGGGGTCTGCGATGTCTATGTATTCCGCTTTTTAGCACGAGTGCGGCCAACCTTTATGGGACATATCCGATTCGGTACCGGTGCATGCCATATTTGATTCAAGAATGAAGAGAAACTGAATGCAAAGTGAAATTGAGTGTTTGCTGATTACTTGCTGACTATATCGGATATACACACAGATGAATATATAATATGATACATTTACAAATACGATTATGTATGTAACTATGCTACATATTCTAGTATAGGTTCATTTGTGTGGACAATATTTGCTTTGACTCGATTATTGTTAAGCCAGACAGACTATGAGTTAACCATATCATGCGAGCATAGAGCACCCACCACCTATAAGATATGTATACACACGCACACACACACACACACACACACACACACTATATACACACTATACTCGTATATATTTATGTACCTACTACCTACCATAGTTCATTCTCTGTTGGGATCGGCTCTGCTTTCTGTGTTTGTTGTTATTAATGTTAATGTAATAAAGTTGATGTTATAAGGCAAAATCATATCAGATCCTAAACTACAATTTAAAGTCTCGATGTTATAAAAGAGTTACGGCAAAAACAAAATATTATCACACATATTGGATATTCATATTTGTTCTGTTTTGCCTAAACCGAAAGTTATATCAGAATAATTATGTCACTCCGCCTCAGGCACTACTAACTGCACAAATATATATATTTACATAAATGCATACAAATCGCAATCGCAACCGTTCAGCTAGTCGAGAAACGTAGGAGGAAATGAGACTCTACATAAGTACATGAAAATACATATACATATACATATACATAACTGAAGATGAAAGCCTATGCATGGCCTTGAGAAGTATTCATATACCCACACGAATTATACATCCATAGATACAAATTAATGTGAGTTCAAATGAAATTAGCTCTTGATTTCACTGTATTATATATATATATATATATTTATTATACACTCATTTATGGTATATGTTTACAAATATAAATCGGCATGTGCATACCTATACGCACATCTACTAAGTGTTATTGATGTTTGACAATAATGAAACCAATACGAAACGAGTTTTAAACACCAAAAATATACAATATACATATAGACACAAGCATACGAGTACGTATAAATGTCTCCGAAAGAACTCAACCCAAACAAAAACGAGTACAGAAAAATCCAGCCCACAGCTCGCGATAATGCCAAAATGCTAATGCTAAATACAAGCAAATAAATATACAAATTAAAAATTGTGAAGCAATAAAAGAATCTGATTGTGTGTGTGTGCGGCTCGATGCGATGATCTTTCGATTCGTTTATTATTATTTGACTCGTCTTAAATACGAAGTTAATTGATCCCATTTGATCTCACTCGAATCAATGTCTTGTGTGTCTGATATCAAATGATTGATTTTTATTGTTCAGTGATCGCTTGAAATAATGATAATGATGCCCGCTAATTATAATGGCACTTTAAATAGTTTATTTATGTTTATTTCGCAACTAATATCCGAAAACATGAATATCACATAAATGACAATAAATATTATAAAGGCGAAACCGAACAAAAAGTCTAATAAAGATAAAGTTATATCTACATATATCAAACTCGGAGAACATTCTCTTTCTTATCCATCATTATGTAGTTCATATCAAAATGTGAAATGTGAAAAATAATTTCATATTTGAAAAAACTTTGAGAACTTCCTGAAAGCTTAGCGATGCTTGACAATCTTCTTCCAACTCTCTTCTGTGTGTGCAGGGGCATATTTAACAGTTATTTGATTAGTGCAAGCCTCCGCTAGACCTCTCCACAACCCTTGCTGCGGCAGCAGAGCGCAACCATCGGAAACAAACCGGCCAAGTGCCGACCGTTGGTCAAGTGGCCCGAGAGTAGCTCGGCAAAGCTGCCGTGGTGCTGCAGCAGCAGCAGCAGCAGCAGCAGCAGCAGCAGCAGCAGGCGTCAGTGATAAAGCCTAGTCGTCGTCATCGTTGGACGTCTCGCTGCATAAAATTAGCGGTAAATTACAAGCTGCAATACCTGTAGCATGATGTTGCTATTACTTTCTGCATACACCGAGCTTTACATTCCGTTGATTGCACACACAAATTTGAAGTGCATTTTCTTTGTTTTTCCGTTTTCATACTCTTGCAGCGCGAGGGCATTAAGATCTGGCCAGTGCCCAACGAGTATGCAATCTACATCGATGGAAGCACATGACTCGACTACATATTTACTATGGTTTCTTTTTGAGCCTCACAATTGTTACTCTCGTGACCTGTGCTCGTCTTGATGCCCGTCGCTCTGCCTCGGCTGCGATTTCTTTTGGCAGGTTTTTTATCCTGTAATTTATCTTCTGCACAGTAATTTTTCTTAAAATAATATTTGAAAAAAAGGGAAGGGTATTAAAAGCTTAGTTTGCTTAACATTTGTCGACTTATGCTTAAATTTTTGTATGCATGTTTGTACATAGGTTTAATTAAAACCAGAAATCCATCAACAATTGCTCATTGAGCGCAGCCGCATTAAGGAAAGTTTATTTTTTTTTTGAATAAGCGGAAATTTAAGCAACGTATCTGGCTTATTGGGTGGCGACACCAGTTCGACGAAAATATTTGGCATAGTTTTTCCGCTGCCCAGATTGCCAGGCAGAGGAAGCGAGACGCGGCATAAAATGGAGCCATGACAAACATGCTAAATGCAGCCCCGTCGACGCCAATATCGACAACTACGTAGCCATGCTTAGGCGGACAGAGGCTGGGGCTGCAACTGCATTCAAAAACAAAAACAAACAACTCAGTAGAAATAAGAAATAAAGCTCGGCTTTTGGGGGGTCGAAGCTTTTGATACTCTTTCAGATCAAATGTGGCAAAAGCCTCCTAAAGTTTAGTTCGATTTCGTTAGGTAATGTATTATTCGTAATAACTTCTTCTAGGGTAAACAAAACACAGGTTAAGATTGAGATATGGCTAGGTGTGTATGTACACACATACTTATGTAAGCCCATGTACAGCTGTATGTATGTATATGTATATGTATATGACGCAGGTGAAATAAATGAAATATCTGAGACGAATGCCACAAACAACAGCAGCAGCAGCAGCAGCAGCAGCAGCAACACATTCATCGACGTTTATGTGGCCGACAGTGGCATGCACAGTGGGACACGCACTGGGAGTGGAGTCGATTGCAGGTGCGGAACGCTTAGCGAGCTTCAGATAAATGATAAATGATTGCAGATGACCTGATTTTTCCTCACATACAATATTCGAGAGACTGGTTCGTGTGAGTGAGCGTTTAACAGGGGCACATACGATATCTATGCATGGAGGAATCATTTCTGAAATTTAAGCGTCCATTTTCTGCCACAGAATCTACTGATAAGATTACGAAAAGTAGAAAAGTGATCAAAGAAAATGAGTCCCTGATTCGCGTTACAAGTTGAATGGGAGGGAACTAGTTCGGCAGCACTGTTAAGCCAAAGCCACGAACTGAACACCTTTCCCGTCACCGGCCGCGTTGTAACTGAGCATTGCCGAAACCAGTTTGGGCCATGCCAAATTCCACATTCCTGGCCACCTGCACCGTTCTGGCCCACTGTGCTGCCGCACTGCCGCAAACAATTAACTTTTGGCAGCAAACGAGTACTACGTCAGTGAAGACAGCAGCAGGCAGCGGCAGCGGCAGCAGCAGCAAGTGAAGACGGTGAAAGAGATGGAAACGGCAACGGCGACTGCGACTGCGACGCTGCGCTTGCGCACGTAAACAAATTCTCAGCTCCGCATATTTTTCGTTGAAGTAATTTGAATGCCCTGCCAAAGGGTATATTTCGCTGCCCAAAGAGGAAATTACTTTTGAGGTTTTCTGCAGCTTGCTTGCTGTTTTCCGAGAGAGTCAATCCCAGAGAAACTTGGCCAACCAATTGGTACATTTTCTGCTGCCAAAGGGCATCCGAATTTCGTGGAGCAAACAATTCATTTTGATGCATTTTCAAAGCTGCTGTTGCGGTGCTGCTTCGACTTTGCTGCGGCTGCGGCTGTGGCTTTTTTTTTTTGTTTTCTTGAAAGCAAAAATTAAAAAGCAACAACAGAAACAAGCAGCGGCACGTAGGAGACGGCGAAGGAGAAGAGAAGCAGAAGAAGAAGAAGAAGAAGAAGCAGAAGCAAAAGCAGAAAAGAAACAACAATCGCTGGCAAAACACGCCAACCCAGCGCGACTTTGTTGCTGCGGTTTTCAGTTGCCAGCGCGATTTTGAATGAGTTGTACGCGGCGCGAGTTTCGAGTGTGGTGTCCATCGAGTCGAGAGAGTCTGTCTCCCACAATCACGATAGATCCGATCCCCAAATCCAATCCAATCCAATCCAAGCGTGTGTGCGTGCGTGTGTTGTAAAAATCCCCCACGACATCCGACATCCCATGCCATACCATACCATAAAATCCGCTCCTCTGGGAGTACTTTAGAGTTTGTGGTTTAATTATTTTTTGTTTTTCAAGTGTGTGTACCGGCCACAAATGAAATTTGTGTGCAACAAGCGGCGAATGCAGGCCAACAGCAACAACAGCAGCAGAAGCAGTTGAAAGAACATCCCAAAATCCCTCTATAGGTAAGACGCCTGGACAAAACGCCCGCTTCAAATATTCCCAAACTGCCACTCGAACCGCAGCAGCAGCAGCAGCAGCAGCAGCAACAGCAACCATACAAATAGCTGGGCCAACGCCAGGTTCAAGTGTAACCAGTTTCCAGATTCCACAAAAATAGCTCCCCAGGCACTGAGCGCCCAATATTTCAAGTTCCCTCCCTCTGCTCCGGCTGCTCCGACTGCTCCGACTGCTCCGTCTGCTGCTGGGGCTATTAAAATGCAAATCTTGTTCTTAACAGCTCTGTCTCAAAATGCCCTGTAACCCCACAGCTTCTTGACCCACTGTTAGTGAGTGCAAGTCAGAAGCGATGCTTTCATTTATTCATAATCAAAAGATAACTACAAATTCCTCCCCTTAATGCTAGTTTTTTTGCAAGGGTTTCCTGGGTATTTATGGATTCTTGTTCATTCTTTTGAGCTTTAACAGACACATTCCCAGCTGCATGCTCAGCCTGAGATCACTGAAAGGCAGTAACTGATGCTGATGCTGATGCTGATGCTGGGTTTTAGAGTATATCTCAGCACGGATAAATTATTGGGGGACGGGACTCGTTTCCAGCATTCTTCTGCTCGTTCTGACTGCTTTTTGCGGTTTGTCTGTGCTTGGCGTATATCATTATTATGCTTATTGTTTTGTGTGTGTCTTTTTTTTTCTGGTTTTCCCCTTATTGTTGTTGTTGTTGTTGCTGTGTGGCTGTGTGGCTGGTGGGGCAAAGCTTTTAACATTTATTATGTATATTCTTCGTCTGTCGAAGCGGGTCGGTGCCCAAGCACATCTTCGGCTTAAATGTCAAGCTCGTGTTGGCTTCATGCTGTCTGTGTGTGTGTGTGTGTGTGTGTGTGTGTGTGTGTCTATGCCAATCAATTCTCCTCCCGCTCTCACGCAATTGTTTTCTTTGCTTATTTTTACTTGCAGCATTTGCAACATACATGCGTCCGTCTAACTGTGAAGCACTTTGTAACGGTCAGCAGCAGCAAGTGGAAGTGCAAGTGGAAAAGGAAAAGGAAAAGGAAAAGGAAAAGGAACATTCGAAGCACCTGCAACCAACTGCACCGTAACCTGTATACACTTTAATCAAAGAAATAGTGGATATTATTGGACCAAAAAGCATACCTCGAACTATTTAATGTTATAGAACGATGGCGTCGGCCACAATCACAACGACAACGGTGACGGCAACAGGTAGCAGCACTATGCTCGAGCTGGATCAACAGCGACAAAGGCCGTTGCGCGGTATTTCAATAGTCATTGAAGCTGCTCAGCCACCAACACCAGCAACGGCAGCAGCAACTACCACAAGTGCAACCACAATGAGCAACGACAGCAACAAAATAGCTGAAATGTCGCTCAAGTCTCAGGCTGGCATGTTGTTGGCATTTGGCGACAGCAATAGGACCAACAACAACAACAACAACAACAACACCAATGCTGACCATGTAACCAAAGATAATTTGGA